TGGGAGACGGATGGCCCTAGGGGCTGTTGTCCATGTCCTTTCTGGGCTGAATAGACATATTCCTCTCCCCAAGACAACTTCCAGCGAAACTTAGAACCTGCGCTGGCTGATGTTTTTTTTTTTTTTTTTTCTTCAAGTTAAGGCAAGCTAGAGTTATCTGGGATCCTCAGCTGAGAAAATACTTCTATTGCATTGCCTGTCAACAAGTCTATCTGGCATTTTGTTGATTAGTGACTGATGTAAGCAGTCCGGTCCGCTGGAGGCGGTGCACCCATGGCAGGTGGTTCTGGGTGGTATATGGGAGCAGGCTGAGCCAGCCAGGAAGCAGTGTTACTCCATAGCCTCTGCTTTGGTTTCCGCTTCCAGGTTCCTGCCCCAACTTCCCTTCATGATGGACTACAGTTGTAAACAGAAATAAATCCTTTCCTCCCCAAGCTGCTTTTAGTCATGGGGTTTATCACGTCAGTAGCAACCTAAATCGGACAGTAGCTAAACATGGGTTCCTACGGAACCAAAGATGAATTCGGCACGATTTGTATTGAGCCAGGATTTCTAAGGAAAAAAAAAAAAAGACAGAAAACCAAATTCAGTGTTTGCGAGACTCTGAAAAGCTTTAAATCTTGAGAAAAGTTTGGTGACATGAAAGAGTGGTTCAATTTTAAAATTTTCTTTAAAAAAAAAGATTTATTTATTTATTATGTAAACAACAGTCTGCCTCCATGTATGCCAGCGCCCCTCCAGAGGGCGCCAGATCTCATTACACATGCTTTTGAGCCACCAAAGAGATCTTGTCTTTTTCTACTTCCCATAGTTCCAGGTTCTGCAAGAGCTAGTTCCAGGACAGGCTTCTAAACCACAGAGAAACCCTGTCTCGAAAAAAACCAAAGCTTTGCTCCCACCACTGCCACATGGTGTGCGGCGGAGCGGAAGACACCTAAGAGACACCCCACCACGGACCCCCTCCCTCTTCCCATCCTCCCCACCCCTCCCCACTCCCCACCTCCCACCCCTGCTGCCATGCACCTCAGGAGGGGTATAAGACACTGGAGAGGGCCCTGCCGGGTAGAGTGGGCACCCCTATGAGCAAGTGTGGGGTGGAGGAGAGCTGAGAGGGACCGACAAGTGGAATGGTTTGTGCGCTAGGCAGAACTGGAGTTTCGAGGGTGGTGAGGAGCAGCTTCAAAGAGAGTTCCTGCACTGCCACCTGAGGCCATGATGATGTCCCGGAAGAGTTGACCCCCGACACCTGCCTGGGGGACAAGGGAGAGCTGGCCCTGATGGTGCTGGAGAACTGGTCCTACCCCTGACTGGGGTGATGTGGAGAGTTGGCTCCGCCCCTCGTGGGCTGCGACACTAGGGAGAGCGGCCCGCACCTGGCCTGGGTAGCTCAGAGGAGCTGGCCCAGGTGGCAAGGGGCAGGAGAACCGCCCCAAGGGCGTGAGAGCAGGCAAACAGGCCCTTTCCCTTGTCAGCTGTGGCACTTGGGTGAGCTGGCCTCATCCCTGGTGGTGTGGATGAGGGAGAGCTGGCCAGTGAGCGCTAGAGAACACGTCCCGCTCCCTGCCAGCTGCCACAGACAGGAGAGCTGGCAGCTAGCTCTGCAGCAGCAGCAGAGCAACGGGCTGACAAAGCCAGCAACCACCCAGGCCCACATCCTCATCCATGAACAGCCGGAGTGCACAAGGGGCGGGTCCTGCAGAACCAACGCTGGGGGATCTCCATGTCGCAGGGCAACAACAGGGTATCAGAGAGGAGTCCCAGTGAGGGCCCTATACTGACAGTGTATCAGAAGCCAGGGGCCTCGAACCAGACCAGTGACTCTTTGCAATGACCATTTGCAGTAAAGCTATTTGGACAAAAGGATGTATACTGTAAGACACACCGCAGTTCCCATGGTGAGATTTTGGGTATGGTCTTATTTATTTTCTTTTGGTGTTTGGAGGTTGCAAGGGCAGAGAGTGGATATGGAGAGACAGGGAAATGAGTGTAATTGGGGTGCATTAAGTGAAATTCACAAAGAATCAATAAAAAGGTTTTTTTTTTTTTAAAAAAAAAAAACAACACTAAGCTTGTCCCAGGGGCAGTAAGTCCCTCCAGAGCAAGCTGTGCACATTTCTCTCTAAGAGGATACAGAAATTGTGGCCAGGCCTGGCCAATAGAGAGACAGCAGAGACTCACAGCTTGGCCCAGAGACTGTCACCCAGCACTGACCTCCCAAAGAAACAGTTGCTACAAACACCGGCATCTTCGCATGCTGTGTTTGACCCGCAGGCATTTCTCTTTAGTATCTGCTCAGCTGGCCACTTCTGAGACCAAGGGACTTTTGTTTGGCACAAGGGGTAGTGGGACTTTGTAAACCCTTTGCAAATCTGTTTTATTTCAGGGATGATAGGCTGCTAACCTCTGAGGTTTAGTTTTTTTTTTTTTTTCTTATAAAAGCATCCAGAAGATGTGTATGAAACTAAAGGAACAAGGAGAGGGAATCAACTCATACAGTCAGCCAGGGCACCTGGGAAATTCTTGGGAACTTTCTAGTTGGTAAGATATGATTGACATACAACAAGATGAATGGGAGGAACCCTCAAACAGCTGGTGTTCTTGTGCACACTAAAAAAGGCCCCTAGAAACCTTAAGGTTATTAGATGAAAATCCCAAAGCTGGGAACTGTTGGTCAGGGAGGTCCCAGGACCTCCTGACAATACCAGCTATTGTCACCGCTGTTGCTTGCTTCCCATGGTAAAACCCCATGGCTGGAGTCACTCTGGGCTTTGTGCAGGCACTGGGAAATCAAGCTGGGACGGAACCATGAGGCTACCCGCTACCCGCTACCTTCCACAGCGCTTGAAGGTCCAATGCAGGCTCCTGGGGGAGAACTGTTAACAGTCCTCTCAGCTGCGGGTCCTGTGTGCCATGTATACCACCAGTTTACCAGGCAAGATGGTTCAGTGGTGATGTGATTGATATGCAGGTAGTCAGCTGCTTTCTGATTGGACTTAGGGCCCATTCTACACGAGGGAACTCATAGCTGGCCCAGAGCCTGAGGCTGGGAGGTCGTATGCTCTAGTGGGCGAGGGACAGCTGTTGATTTGCTTACTGGATGTGACACACCCGTGAAGCTGCCTTCTGAACATTTACGCTTAGGCCTGTAGAGTAGTATTGCTATCAGCTCTAGTCAGAGAAGCTTCTTTTTATGAAGGGTAACAGATACTGCAGAGACCTGGAAGTCATCCGAATAAGCGGCTGTTGAGTGGTCAGCCTTCAATGGCACAACCGTGTCATTTCCATGGCTCAGGGAACATCAGGGAAGAGGGAGTGGAGAGAGTGTGAGCTGGACAAAGGGGTGGGGAGCTGTGGAACACTGTCTTCTAGGTGTGACATGGCCATTGTGCCAGCAGCTACGCTTGTCGAAGGGGGACCTGCTCAAGATGGCGCCCATCGATTTTCCATCACAGGGGGTGGGGGAGGATTCATGAGGCCATGCTCCAATCCAAGATTTACAGGTAGTTAACAGCTGTGGAAAAGGGAGGTGTTTCTATTTTCTTTAGTGGTGGAACTATCTGTAAGTTGCCCAGGACTCTGTATGGAACCCTAACTAAACTCATTGTTTCCCAGGCTAGACTTGAGTGGAATTATTTCTAGACTTGAGTGGAATCTGTTGTAGGAGGCCCACGTGGGTAACTATATGTTTGTCTACACACACACACACACACACACACACACACACACACACACACACGGGCCCAGGCACAAAGGCACAGACTGGTAAGGACGTTTGATGTGAGGATTAGCTTGCACACAGAACCCGGTGCTTTCCCAATGACTTAGCACTCATGTAGCTTGTCTGCTCTGCGTGTTGACCTGTTCCTGCTGCAGCTGTGAGCCACACTTCAGCCTGAGGAGGCCGAGGCACTGGGAGGTGACTGTGCTTAGCCCTGCAGAGAAGCTAACAGCAGAGTCAAGACCTGACTGTTTCTGCTGCTCCTGGCTGTGTGGTTTAGGCCATGCATGAAGAGAACAGAAACTTCCCTTGAGCAGGGGTGTTCTAACAGATCTACCTCTGCCCAACTACCGGGACAGAGGAGGCTTGAGTCAATGGGACAGCGGCTCTCGCTCTGGCTACCTTGAGAAGCTGAGTCACCAGGAACTAATCTCAAACCTCCGAACACCCCAAAGCTCCAGGAAGCAGACTAAATTGTTGTCATGGCTCCCATCAGGCCTTTGATCTAGGCAAACTCTCTCATCCTTCATGCTCGACCTGGAATTAAAGCCAATTTCCAAGCTATATGGAGAGCTGGTGACCCAGATCAGAATAGACGTCTGTTTCTCTAGAACCCCAGAGTCTGGAAACCACAGTTTCTGGTGTGAGCTTGCAGGATAATCCTCTCTGGAGCTTCTAGATAGAGTTTTTCGTTGTGCAGGAATGTGATGTCACTAAAATCGGAACGATGTAAGATGCTAGCTGCCCGAGAGCCCCGTGTTTGTGAAGCTTTAGGCTAGAATTTCATCAGTTCAAGATCAATTTAGGCCACAGAGTAATTCTCTAACTCAAAACACAAAAACAGATTTCTTCAAAAAATGAAGACAAGATTATGTAAGAGAATACGTTGGGTGTGGTGGTGACCCTAGGGCAGGCACGGGCAACTTTACTAATAGGGACTTGCCCAGTAACGTATGGCCTGGGGCGTGTTCTTGCTTCAATGCTTGGCTTAGCACCAATGCTAACTCCTGTCAACCTAAATGTTCCGACAACACTTAATGTTAGAGGTTTGTGGCAAACCCACACATCTCTGCCAGAGCCCTAACCGTCACGGGTTGCAGCCACAGAGGACTAGTGACATCAGTTATCAAAGAGGCTTCAGCGTCCTCCTTACCTCAGGGGCTCATGCTGCCTGAAAAGCGAAAGGAAAACTGTATTCCGTCCTCCTAGGTCATCCCCCAGAAGAGCGACAGCTCCGTGAAATACAAGACAAGACTCAAGGACAGGCAGGTGCCAGTAAAAATACGGTACTCATTTCTGATGGCTGTGCTATGTTTTAAGGCAAGTGTCACACATATACAAAACATCAAGAGATGAACATGTTAGAAAAATAGCAAGGAGACATTTCAAACGGTTACAGTGGAATCTTTCTCATGACTCAACCCCATCCACTCTTCCGGGAGCCAAAACTCAGCTTCTGGCCTCCAAGAGGAAGATCCCATGTCTGTCACCTTCCTCCAGACCACGGCAGCACTCTTAATAAAGAGTCCAGGTTGGGACCCAAGTGTCTAGCCAGTTCACTGTCCAGCTCCAATCCCTACTTAACAAGAGTCTTTAGAAACTGGACTATCAGGATGACAAAGACATAATTTGTATTAGTTCCCCCTTATCTGAACTCAAACCTGCTTGGAGTTAAAAACCACGCAACGCACACACACAAACACTATACATAAAATATATGTAAATACTCAAGAAAAGGATTCACTGAAACTTAAAAAATACCAAATGCTCATTCATAATCAAACATTGGGATTGATTCCCCATTAAAAACAGTGTTGGCAACGAGGTCTGGCCACTCTCTCCTTAGTACACAGTCGCTCCTGGCTCCACAGCAGAGGAAGCGACTCTGTTGTTTTAAGAAGCTGGGCCTTCACACTTGGGGCTCTGTTCCTCGTGGATCTTCCCCATCCCTTCGCTCAGCATAGTCCCAAGTCTGTTGGGCCCAGCGAGACACACACCGGGGAAGAGAGAGGATGAGCAGGGCCAATGACTCCAGTCGGGGCTTAATCTCCTACTCTGGGTGGGGTTGGCAGAACTGTGGTGGGAGGTGGTGGCCCGCCAAGGAAGAGGCCGTGTGGATGGTTATCACGACTCTTTGGAACACAAGTTGACGAGAACAAAGTTCTGTTCAGGAGAGCCTCTCAGACCAGGAGGCAGCCTCCATGGAGAAAGCTGTCTCCCAGGTGAAACAGGGCGCTTACAGATGATGCAGCACTTGACTTCCAAGAAGCAAAGTGGTAATTTCCACAGATTTCCTGTCTGCCTTACCAGATCAGAGTGAAGTAGGTAAGAGGCAGGTAACGTCAGACCCAGGACTGTGGAAACCAAAGCTAGGGGCCTGGGCACAGAGCTCCCCCCCTTGACTAGTGTGTGAGTTTATTGGGGGGCACATGATTCTGCTGGTGGGGGTTTTAGTGAGGACTTTGTCAAACTGTAGCAGTAAAGTGACCGACCAATATGGGTCAGCAATGCAGTGACCACACCCCCCCTCCCAGAAAAAAAAGGTCTTAGGGTCTGTTGCCAAATCAGAATGGAAATAGGAGGTGCTGGCAGAGACCCCCGTCTCAGAAGGAGGGAGTTAAGTGCCTCTGGTCTCGGATGGGAACAATTCTGTTTTGTCCTAATTGGGGTGCTCTCTAGTCTTCCCTGACCTCAGACTTGAAACGGCTTACTCAAGCTGAGACCCCGGCTGTGCTTACCACCACCTGGAGTAAAATCCACCACTGGGCAGCACCTCTGGTCCCTCAGAAGCCACCCTCACGGGCGGAGTACAATTCTTTAACCTGAAGGCCGGCTCATGAGATTCAAGCCAGTCTAAGAATCCGGGAACTTCTTCAGTGCCTACTGCTGATGATACGGCGTGATAGGCAATTATAAACCCCTCTGGTTCGCCCAGGAAGCACCAGATGCACAGCGAGCCAATGAAGAATCCATCTGCCTTGCCCTGACCTTCACCCCTAGGCCTCCAAGAACCTGGAATTCCCTCCAGGCCTGGCAGCTCGAGGGGGTTTCCCAATAAAGTTAAGGTATATCTACAGCTCCACTGAGACATGGATCAAGTCAAACGTCAGAGTGTTCTGGTCCTCAGTGATCAGTCCTGGCCTGGGAGCCCAAGGCCTGTGCTGAGGGATCACCCTCAGACTGGTGATTGGGCCAACGCCTTGCTCGGGAGACGAAAAGTCTGAGGGCTAAGCCCCTGTCTAAATGATGGGCAGGCTATCTGGGCGGGCTGCTGGCAGCTAGCTGGCTGGCCCAAGACCCAGCCCCATCACAGCACCGACTCCTTGGATTCAAGTTCTGGAGCAGTGGCCACGGGGCCTGCCGGGTTCTGGTGTGTCACCAGAGGCGAGGTCTCCTCCTCCGACTTGGAGTTGGGAATGGCTTCCACCTTCACTTCTTGCAGCTCCTGTTCACCTTTCTTCGTTGCCTTCTGATTCAGGTGGTTGAGGATTCCGGCTCCCAGGGCATCCCCCTCCACGTTCACCACAGTGGTAGTGCGGTCCCTGGTGGAAACAGGAAGGAGAAAGGACTGACGTTATACTCGGCGTTACCAGTGGAGGGCACTGTCACAAGCTGGTGGCCGGAGGAAGTTGTGCAGGGTGAATGTGTACTGTCTCACGTGGGCACGGCATGGCAAGGACTCCAGGGCCTCAGACCCACGCGAGTGGAAAGCCTTCCCCACGTGGGCCTCAGAAGGGATGGCAAAGCCTTCCCCTGGTCCATGTGAGGATGTGTGTATACACACACACACACACACACACACACACACACACACACTTTATGGCCTGGAGGCTGTTCTCTTAGAGACTGTCCCTACTGAGGTTAGCTAAACTTGTCTCCTTAGTCAGTCATTTACCATGAACTCTGCATCCCTAATTCAGCAGTTGGCAATAACCTTGCCTCCCTGATCAAATGTATCCAACATGCTCAACTTCCTGGGTGCTGTGGATTCTCCATCCAAGAGCCTAGTACAATGGATCCCAGCCTTCCTGTATGTTTGTCCTTTCTCTATGTCCTCGGCACCCCCGTCGGGGCAATCCCTACCCCTGGAGCCCTGCTGGATGTGGTTGTGCTACTGTGGAGTCCTGCTGGATGCGGCATACCACTAACAGACCTGCTCTAAACTGCTTTTCTTTTTTTTTTTTCTTTTTTCTTTTGGTTTTTCGAGACAGGGTTTCTCTGTGGTTTTGGAGCCTGTCCTGGAACTAGCTCTTGTAGACCAGGCTGGTCTTGAACTCACAGAGATCCGCCTGCCTCTGCCTCCCAAGTGCTGGGATTAAAGGCGTGCGCCACCACCGCCTGGCTAAACTGCTTTCCTTGAGCAGCATTTACGCCTAGGAAAGTAATAGACTCTTGTAGAAAGTGCCAGAAAAAGAGGAGTTGAAGGTAGCAGACAATCCCTTGCGCATATTCCACAGCTCCGGGCCTTGACCTGAGCAATGCAATCTAGTTCCTTCCAGCCACCTTCCCACACTGTTCTGTTACATGCAATGCGTCCCACTACAGAGAACAATGGATGCATTTGGGAGAAGAGAGAAGATGTGGTTTGTGCTCGGTGTTCAGTACACTAGAACTTCAATTCTGCTTCCGTCGGCAAGAGCATTCCACGGCTGTGGGCAAGCATGTCATAGAAAACAGCACTGGCTTCCCCACAGCCTACTTAGCGCAGGTTAGCTCAACATCTACCCCAGTCACTGGAGCTCAGAGAAGGCCATTTGAAGACAGGAAAATGGTGATCTTCCCCAAAGACCCCAGAGGGCTAGAGTCCTGATTGCGAGCGGCCTGTGTGCCCACAGGCCTCTCTCTGCTGGACATCCAGCGTGGTGCCAATTCCCTTCCCTGCTGGGCAGCTCTGAGATCCATTCCCCAGGCACAGGAGGCAGCAGGAAGGATGAGACAGACGATCCCTGCCATTGCTTTGGTCCTTGCCAGCCCAGGGATGCCTCTGGTGAGGCATCCAGAACTTATTGGACACTTCACCCCATTTCTGTGAAGAGCCGTCAGAATTTGGCAAGCGAGCTGTTTTAAGTTGGAAAGGCTACCACTTCCAAGTACCCTCGCAGACCGAGTGCCAGGCACCTGAAGTGAGCTCCACCCAGCGTGGCTGTGGCAGTCCAGCAGGACTGTCCTCCTTGTTAAATGTTTACCGAATGCTGCTCCACCTGCCCCATCTTCTGTGCACTGCACACATGCTGACTCATTTACCCTCGCCACGACTGGTGTGGTTACAGGACACACAGATGGGCTGTGGTTTACCCTGTGATCTGTGCTTTCTACATCACTACCTCAGCCAGCTTTCCTATAGGACAGTAGATTTATACCTACAAAAGGTATCACAAGGCTCAAGCAATCAATATCTAGAAACTCTTGTGTCTGCACGGAACCTCAGGGACAGCAGCCTGGTCATCTGCTTACCTAACATCTCCTGAGTTCAAGCATAAGGTGTTTGCATGCTCTCCTTGCATAGAAACCATTCTTTGGATGTTTGCCAAGGCCAAGGCCAGCCACTGCTCCAATCAGTTATTATTCTACTCTGCCATCACCTGCATAGTTCCTTGTACCTACTTAATGCTACAAGCAAGTTCTGATGATTGTGTCTCACGCCATTCATGGATGTCCACGGGCTCTTGACTATTATACTGCTGACATTTTTTTTTTCTTTTTTTTGAGATAGGGTTTCTCTGTGTAGCTTTGGAGTCTGTCCCAAACTTGCTCTGTAGACCAGGCTGGCCTCGAACTCAGAGATCCACCTGCCTCTACCTCCCAAGTGCTGGGATTAAAGGCATGTGCCACCACCTCCTGGCAGCTGTTGACTTCTTAGAGTTCTAAATCTGGTTTTGCCAGCTTAACTATAGACTCTTTCCCCAGCAAGGATGGTTTTAAGTTTCTCTGCACATTCCGGGCCCAGTGGAGCATCAAGTTCCCAGGGGCCTCAAGAGACTTTCTTTACTCCAGGGTCCTTGGTATCAGCTACTTACACAATCCAGTCCACAGCGAGGATCAGAGAGAGGTATTCTGTGGACAGTCCAATGGCCTCCAGGATAATGGCAATGGTGAGGACCCCTCCAGCCGGCACACCCGCTGCTCCAACACTGGAGGCCGTGGCAGTCACTCTAGAGGACGGCAAAGCAAAGTCAGCCATGACCACAGAGCATTGCAGCCAGCACTTACAGAAAACACCCATACGCTCTGGGGCAGTGCTTCTCAGCCTTCCTAATGCTGTGACCCTTTAACACAGTTCCTCATGTAGTGGGGGACCTCCAGCCATGAGATTATTTTCGTGACTACTTCGACTGTAATTCTGCTACTGTCAGGAATCACAGTGTAAATATCTGACATGCAGGATATTAGATAATTGGCCGTGAGAGGGCTGTGACCCCCAGGTTGAGAACCACTGCTCTAGGGGCTTAGGGGATGACACACAGTCTTCAAGTGCACTCAGACCTCTTCTCTTCAGGTTCTGTGTTCGCAAATTAAACCGACCACAGATCACACACAGTGAAAACAAACTGTCGCTACTCAATATCTACAGGTCATTTTCTTCTTCTTTTCTTTTTTTTATAATTTTTTAAAATGATTTATTTATCTTTATTTTATGTGCATTGGTGTGAAGGTGTCAGATCCCCTGGAACTGGATTTTCAGACAGTTGTGAGCTGCCATGAGGGTGCTGGGAACTGAACCCGGGTCCTCTGGAAGAGCAGTCAGTGCTCTTAACTGCTGAGCCATTTCTCCAGCCCCCTCTTCTTATTTTCTTAATGATACAGTGTAACAACCACTCCCATAGCACTTACATCATATTAAGTATAGAAGTAGTCTAGAAATGATTTAAAGTATAGAGGAAAATGTATACAAACTATAGACAAGACACAAGTTTGGATCTGAAATGTCCCTGAAGGCTCATGCTTTAAGTCTTGTCTCTCAGCTGGCTGCTGTACTTTGCAGGCTACGGAGTCTTTGAAGGTGGGGCTTGGCTGGCCAAAGTAGTTCACTAGGGGCGGGTGGGCCTTGAAGGTTATATCTGCCCCATGTCCTGTCTGTCACTGTGTGAACACAACATCATTCTTCTCTCTCACGATGGACTAAAATAAAATCCCTCTAAGCCATGAGCCCCAATAAGCCTTTTATCTTTTAAGTTATTTCTGACAAATACTTTGTCATAGCAAAGCAAAAAGCTAACTACTCAACCATCCATTATCTGCGGGGGGGGGGGGGGGACAAAAGGCCCTTGGTCAGCTGATTTGGACAGTTTGCTTAAATTGGGAAACACCTGGGGCCTTAGTGGGGCACACTTCCGGGTGTATTTGTGGGGGCATTTCGAGACAGGGTTAACTGGGGTGGGAAGACTCATCCTAAAGTTGGGGAGCACCATCCATAGGCTAGAGGCCTGGACTGCATGGAAAAGAAAGAAGGAGAATAGCAACAGAATGCCGTACACATCTCTCCCGGATCCACTCAGCTGTGAGCAAACAGTCTTATACTCACTAACTCATACGTCCATACCTTTTCCACAATGGCGACGGACTGCGTCCGTTCAAACCGTAAGCCAAAACATAGCTTTTTGCCTGAAGTTGCTTTCTGTTGGGTATTCTGTCCCAGCAGTAAGACAACTAAATCCCAAGATACGAGGGATGATGGTGATGAATTCTCGCTGTCTTACAAATGAGACACTGAATAACGGTGAGTCTGGCTTTTCAAAGGAAATCACAATAAACAAACCAACCAAACAATAAAACATTTTTTTTTTTTTAAAAAAACTGAAGTTTTAAGTCAGGCCTAGAGATACAGGAAAGAATAACAGGCTCACAGAATGGTGAAGATCTGTCCCGCGTTCAGGTCCACGTTGTTGAGCTGGGCGATGAACACGGCGGCCACACACTGGAAGATGGCTGCCCCGTCCATGTTCACAGTGGCCCCAATGGGGAGGATGAACCTGCTGATCCTCTTGTCTACACCATTGTTTTCTTCAATGCACTTTATCATAGACGGCAGGGTAGCCGAGCTAGAAGTGAACAAAACAATCCAGCATGAAAGTAGTCCTTCCCGGCCAGGTGAAAACCACGTATCTCAAAGCCAGGAGCAGGCAATGGACAGCATCCTAGCAAGCTTCTCTTCCCTTGAATTAAGACTTTTTTTCAAAGTCTCCAGTGTAGCCAAAGGCTTTTGCCAAGCCCCACTAGATTCAGACATGACTTCCAGGGTCCACTTATTCCATTATTCACATAGATTCAGCCAAGAGCCACATCTTGCCTCACTATAAAATTGTTGGGGACTGCAGACTCTCAGACCCTGAGTTTTCTGTGACCCCCTTGCCTGCACGGAGTAAATGGTTTGTTTTCCTGTGCTTGCAGCTGCTCTGGGCACAAGACCCTCATGAGTTCCTGAGGCAGGGGAGTGGTTTCTGGTAGGTTTGCAGCTGAAAATCCCAAGAGCTGGGGCGTGGCCATTAGTCAAGGAGAGCCCTATGTAAGCTTCCTTGGAACACAATAGAGGGGGCATTCTTGTTTCAAGGATGACCTGTGTCTCTGTGTGTGTGTTTCAATCTCCAGCCCCTTGCCCGACTCGCAAACCACCCCATGGTGGACAGGCAGAACAGTACATCAAATGTCCCAAAGAGAGCCACCTGACTCCACTCCCATAGGGTTGAGTAGCCAAGGACGTTCCCGAGCTCACTCACCTGGAACAGGTGGCGAAAGCTGTAGCAAATGGTGTGAGGAGGCCCAGCAGGAATCTGTAAGGGTTTTTCCGTGTGAAAGCAAAATAGACAAGAGGCAGAACAATTCCTCCATGAATAACATGGCCCAGGATAGATGCGAAGATGTATTTCCCAAGGCTGGTCACGAGCATGATGATGTCCTTCATTTCCACAATCTTGCTTCCAATCAGGAACGTGATGCCTATCGGTACGTACCTAGGTCACAAGCACAGACACTCAGCAGGGAGGTGCTGAGGAGGGGCTGGGAGATGCTGGGTCTTTGGTCAAGTGCTGAGGAGGGGCTGGGAGATGCTGGGCTTTGAGGGAGTTGCTGATGAGGGGCTGGGAGATGCTGGGTCTTTGGCGAGGTGCTGAGGAAGGGCTAGGAGATGCTGGGCCTTTGGGGAGGTGCTGAGGAGGGGCTGGGAGATGCTGGGTCTCCCAAAAACAGGAACTTTCAACTGGTTATTTTCATCACTTCCTAGAGTTACTCTAAAAACAGGAAAAGATGGAGCTGACCTTTTTTTTTTTTTTAAATAGATTGCGTGACTGATTGAAATGAAGGTCTCGCAACTGAGTGCACTGACAGAGTTACAGAGCGTGCATCAATGGATACAACAAGCATCTGCACACGTAGACCGCTTTTCTTTGATCTATGCACACTTGCTTTCTTTGAGTTTTTCTTCTCTCCTCTCCTTCTTCCCCTTTCCTTCCTTTTAGACAAGGTCTCACTACATAATCCAGATTAGCCTGGAGCATGAAATCCCCCTGCCTCAACTTCCTGAGTGCTGAGTTTATAGGCATGTGCCATTATACCTGGCTCTACATATGTTCCTGACTGATGGATTGCTACCAACTACCTGGCAACTAAAGGCCCTGAGACTACAAACTTGACTTTCAGCTTCGCTCAGACCTGTTCTGAGAACTCAGAAAGACGTGAATTCTGCAAAACTGCCGTAATACAACGGAACATAGCCCGGGGCTTCTGGGACGGTCTACATTCTTTTTGGTTTAGCAGACATGATTCTGTGGGAAAAAGTCATTAACAATGAGGTTCTGGGAACACTGCCAGAACAAGGATCTTTTTTAAAGTGAGAAAAGGCATAAATTATAGAAACTACAAAGAAAAAAAAATCAGTTCTGTAAATTTAGCATCAATTCAGTAATAGTCCTACAATCGTTTTAATTTATACATTTTAATTTTTACTTAATAATGCCTCCTAGTTCAGATTTCCAGGGGCACAAAGGGTGAGTAGCGTGAGCCTCTCCCGTCAGCCCCTGAGCGCCCAGTGGAGACGGCCAGTGTGACTGGCTTCTTGAGTTTTCTTTCTAGAGACATTCTACGCGGTGTTAGGAATTTTAAGTCTCATCTTCAATAACAGTTCATCCTCCAGAGGACAGGCACACTGCTCTTTGGCGGCCACCTCCAGCCAGCCTCTCCTTAGACAAGCACTCCACATTATGCTACCAAGATATTTTCATATCAGTATTTAGAAAGCTACCTTTGCTTGCGACGAAATACACACAAAATTTATCGTTTAGATGACCCACTGCGTAGAGTTGATCGTCACTAAGGACATTGGGGCAGCCATCACCACCCAGACCAAGGGTATTTCCATCGTTCCTGAGTAAAGCTCTGTTCTCGTTGGATTGCGGCTCCCAGGCCCTCCACCCCAGCTGGCCTCTGGTACACAAAAGCAGAACACACATTTTCGTCCTTCTGTGACGACCTGTTTCATTAGCCTAATGCCTTAAAGGTGCCTCCATGCTGTGGTGTACACCAGAGGGTCATTTTTACACCACTCCATGTTATAGATACAACATCTTGTTTATCCACCTGCTTGCTACTGATAGACATTTGCTTTGCTCCTAACCTTCACCACGCTGCTTTCTTTCTTCAAAGGAGGCTGGGTTTGAGGCAGGGTCACGTGTAGTCAAGGCTGTCCTTGAACTCCTGATCCTCTTACTCCCACAAGTCACGGGCTGGGATCACAAGTGTGCATAGCTCATGGCCTTGTTTTTAGTATTTTCTCAAAATGGAAGTGCCATGGTTTCTTCTTAGGGTCTCATCTTTGGAAACATACCTGCCGGTGCCCATATGCCTGTGTTCTCTAGTCAAGATATCAAGTAGGGGCCCTGCTGACTTGAAGGTGTGCACATTTTCAATAGTCAGCGGTGCTGTATTGTTCTCTGAAGTGTGTGCCAATCCTCGTTCCCACCAACCGTCTAGAGGGGAGCTATCCACCCTACTCCTGCCCCAGTGGCCACCCAGGGGGGATTTTTTTTCTCTTAGGGTACTTTTGGAGTTGTCAGGAAGACATTGTCATGACTTTGAAGGCCAGTCAAGATGGCAAAAGTACCAGGGTTAAGAACCTTATTCTCATCCTCATCAATTCCTCACAAAGCCAACTTGCTATTACTTGATTTTCAACTGGGTAGGCACCCTTAGGATATGACTGCCCATGCCAGCTTTCCCTTCTGTGCCCTGCCGACCCGTCCATTCTCTAACAGTTCAGACACTCTGTTTTCAGGAGTAAGGGCACTTATGTGGGTGTGCTAACGTAGGTCTGCCAGTACTTGGGAGATTCAGACGTGGGGATCGGGAGTTCTAGATCAGCCTTGACTGCACAGCAAGTTCAAGGCCAACCTGGGCTACGTGAGACTCTACTTCAAAAAACCGAACCGAATTAAACCAAACCACAGTTCTCTCCTCAGAACAATGGCAACCAAGTGAAGAGGCACACTTGCAGTGAGAGTTATACTATGTGATTTTTACCCTGAGCAAGAGAAACACCATTGATGGGGTCTGGATTTGGCCTGTCAGTTTCAAATTTCTCCTAAATCCAGTCCAATTGGAACCTAAGTCATCAGAGAGAATAGCTCTGGGATTGTTAGCAGTCGACAATAAGAAATACTTTGTAGCCGGGCGGTGGTGGTGCACGCCTTTCATCCTAGCACTCGAGAGGCAGAGGCAGGCGGATCTCTGTGAGTTGGAGGCCAGCCTGGTCTACAAGAGCTAGTTCTAGGACAGGAACCAAAAAGCTACAGAAAAACCCTGTCTCGAAAAAACTTAAAAAAAAAAAAGGAAAGAAAGAAATACTTCATGTGTGAAAGCATAAACTAATTTTTAACAACTAATGGATGGAGGTTAAAATTCTGAGGTTTGCTCAGCGGATGTGCTAGCTAGTCTTTAAGGTCAACTTGCCACAGGCTAAGTCACTTGGGAGGAAGGAACAGCAATGGAGAAAATGCCCCCACCTGATTGGCCTGTGGCGTAGGGTATTTTCTCGATTGATGGTTGATGGGAGAAGGCCCAGATGACCTTAGGCAGAGCCACCCCAGGGCAGCACCCCTCCATGACCTCTGCATTAGCTCCTGCCCCCAGGTTCCTGCCCCGACTTCCTCCCATGATGGACTGGGATGGGGAACTGTAAGCTAAAATAAACCCCTTTCTCTCCACGCTGTTGATGTCATGGTCTTTAAGACAGGTGAAGTGCCGGAAAAGCTTTGAAGACATGAGGTCAGGGACTGGCTGGTTTCAGGGAAGCTGTTTTGAAGGAGATGGTCAAATCATGACCTTTCAGCAGGAATCAAGCTAATGATCTCTATCGTGCGATCGCCCTTCCGTTAAGATGACACAGAGGAGCACTTATAAACTAGAAGCTTTCACAAATGGCCGCTTCAAGTTTTACCCAAGCAGGGTGAGAAGAGTTTGTCCTCTTTGTTGTAAAAGGTCACACTGGCAAACCTCCTCAAATCTTAATGTTTATCATTTGAAGATACAAGGCCCTTCTTTTATTCAGCAGACCACAAGCTGGACGTGGCAAACACATGTGCCGACATGGGAACCCATACATGGACGGTGGTGATCGGAGACATGGAGTCAGTGTGGACACCACACTGTAACAATGGGCACACCAGATCTCTAGGAGATCCAGACAAGAGGACAGATGATTGCACCAGCATCACTTTTTGAAAGATTTAAAACGTCATCATCATGGTGTGTGCGTGTGTGCATGTGTGTGTATGGGATGTCTGGGTACATATGGAGGTTGGACAACAACTTTTACGCATTTGTTTTCTCCTCCCACTGTGGGTTCCAAAGATCAAACTCAGGTTTTCAGGCTTACTCTTAGCCACTGAGCATCACGTTTTGTACCGCGGCTGGTTTGTATTTCATTAACTGCACACCGGGCATGAGGCCAGGAGTCCCACAAGGTAACCCAGAGTATCAAATCTTTCCTAGATGCGAGGAGGACAGAGGAAGAGAGATGGCAGAGTGACACTCACCACATAATCCAGGACACCAGCACCATTGTTGCCTCGTTGAAGGAATTGAAGAAGCGAATGAGCTCTTCTCCCTCGGGGCCTAGCTTCTTGAGAGCCACTCCCAACACCAGGGCAAAAAGGACCAGTCCTAAAATGTTCATCCCTTCAATGTCGGTGACAATGGGGACCTGCAGACCAGAAGAGACAGATTTATATTCAACAACAGATGGGTCACTTTGGAGTGGGTCTGCTTGGGGTCTGGGGCACTATGTGTCGAACAATCAAATGCTTATATTTCCTTTAACCTTTAGCGAGTCAAAATCAAGGGAGCAGAAAACAATGGGACAGTCGAGGATACACAAAACCAACAAATAAAAATTTTACCTACGGGCCTGGAGAGATGGCTCAGTGGTTAAGAGCACTGACTGCTCTTCCAGAGGACCCAGGTTCAATTCCCAGTACCCACATGGCAGCTCACAACTGTCTGTAACTCCAAGATCTGACACCCTCACACAGACATACACAAAGACCTTGAACTTTCCAAAGAGACCAAGTTGATGTAAATTCAAGGAAGACACCATTTTGTTTTAACTTTACCAAGTGTCATTTTCCACTTTAGAAAGGTGTGTTGACAAGGTAAAGTATCAAAATCCAAATCCCTGGCACAACATGTCCACCTGCAGGAGCAGCTGTGGCATTCTGGGTTACCGTACACATGATAGATAGGGAAGTATTGGCTTAGCATCTATTTTCAAAAGATGCAAAAAAAGTTCTAACACTATTAGGCGAGATTCTGCCTTACTGCTTTTGTTTATTTGTGACTCTTGTTATTCTGAGATGGGCCCTTCGACTATGTAGTCCAGGCTGACTTGAAACGCCCGTCTCAGCCTCCTTAGTGCTGAGATTTTAGGACCTACAGCAAAGAAACTTTATTGTATTTATAGTGATGGGGTTTTACCATGCGGCACTGGCTGGTCTTCACCCTGGGCTCCGGATCCTCTTGCCTTATTTCCACATGTCACGAAGCTTTTTTTTTTTTAAATAATTAATTTTATGTCTGAGACAGAGTCTTTCTGTATAGCCTAGGCTATCCTGGAACTCACAGTGATTCTCTTGCCTCAGCCTCATAAGTGCTGGGGACAGTGCCCTATCAGTACCAGGCCCCACTGCTTTTTAAATCCAAATTTATTAATTCCAAGTAGATGGAAATACACAAAAACTTTGCTATATCTTCTAAATTGTCCATTTACATGGTAAAATATGTATTGGGTTATTATGCTATTTTTTTAAAGATTTATTTATTTATACAGTATCCTGCCTGTAGGACAGAAGAAGGCACCAGATCTTATTACAGATGGCTGTGAGCCACCACGTGGTTGCTTGGAATTGAACTCGGGTCCTCTGGAAGACCAGTCAGTGCTCTTAACCGTTGAGCCATCTCTCCAGCCCTATTGTGTTATTTTTATTTCTCCCTTATATCGTGTTAGTTTTTTTTCCAAGCTCTGTGTGTACACTGTCACTTTCCACCGCATTAGGAAAGAAGGAGTGTTCGGAAAGAGCTCACAGACCTCTGAAGATTCCTGTGCTCCAGACTCTGGCATTGGGCCGTGGTGGTAAGGAGCAAACCTAACCTGGGGGCTTTACATATCCCATTCAGAACCTCCAGTTTCCAACCCCAGGAAGTAAAAGACGTATGGTGGACATCTTTCATTAAGGAAGCTGATTTGCTTTACACACCCTTTGCGATCTTCTGGAGATTCTTACCTTCTCGTAGGTCATGTTGCCCGAGCTGGTGTTATGGGTCATCATTTTGTAACTGGTTGCAGACTGATAGAGAGGGAGAGAACCCACTGTCAGTGAACGAGTCTAGAGGCACCGAGGCACCGAGGCACCGAGGGCACAGTGAGGTCTTACTCTACTGCTATCCTGTGAGTGTGCTGGCCAGGCTGCACTTGGCTGGCCCGACACTGACCTCTGAAGCCTGCACAAAAGTCCCATTAACACCAAGGCAGCCTGCCCTAAGAAGCTTTTGGGTGAGTTAGCGACCCAAGGAAATAGAATTCCCACCTGTTCCTTGGGCAAAAGGTTAAAGAAGAGGTGCCCAGTTTCCTGCTGCTAGTTTGGTACTCTAACAGCTCATGCTTCAGATTATTTGAGGTTTGGCACACATTCCAGAAAGCTAAAGTCCATCACGTTTTTTTCACTCATTCATTTCATTCTATCCACTGTGTTCCAGAATTGCTCAAGCGTGGCTGCTCTTTGGCATCTGTTTCTAACCTGGTGTGAGCTGTCACCTCCAGAGGAAGGGGCATGAGGCAAGCCAAGTCTCCTGGGCCCTGGCCTACTGTTGGCTGAGCAGACACACCTCTGCAGGGTGTGAACTGCCCCCACTATGGCGCGGGCTCTGTAGCAGTGCAGATCTCATCACAGCTACTGAGGTTGTGTGGCTCCAGAGCGGTCAGATGTCCAGACAGCACAGACCCAAGCGCCTGCTTGTGCCCATGTTTGATGAGCTTTGGCCTCTCTCAGCTTTATCAAAGTTTCGGAGAGACAGATGTATGTAGCTGTCTCATGATCGGGGTGTCAGGGAAACCAACCCCACCCCATCCCTTTTGTGACAAGCACCAAAAGCTCTATGTAGCTACTGTTCTTTCTACCTCACATTATATATACAGTTCACCCTGTGCTCACATGCAGATTAAAAATGCAAAATAGGTCGTTTTCCTCTGTGTAAAAAAATATGTAAAACAAAAACGAAGAAAATAAAAAGTAAGAATTTTTTTTTCTCATAAAAATCAATGCCTGGGCCTGTCTACTCATTTTCTGTGTGAACAATGGCTCGAGGTCCTTCTTTTCCACACTGCTTAAAAAGGGGGGAGATCTATAAACAACCTGTACATCCTACAGGGCACAGGCAGAAAAGTGTGCTATATTCTTACAGCCACCAGCTTCTCGGCGAGAGGGAAAAGGTTCGTCCTAGGCTGCCATAGAAAGGGTGCGTCATAAAGCTTATCTGTGCATGTATATGTGGGAGCCATATAAATTATGTTTAAAATCTGCATTCACAGGGGTTAGAGAAAAGGTAGAGCACTAGCTGCTCTTCCAGAGGACCCGGATTCAATTCCCAGCACCCACACGGGCGCTCGCAACTGTCCATAACTCCAAGGGATCCAATGTCCTCTTCTGGCCTTCCGAGGGCACCAGGCATGCATGTGGTGCACAGATATACATGCAGAAGAACATTCAAACACAGAATTAACAACTAACTAACAAACTAACTAACTAACCTGAAGAATATACACCTAAATGTCAGTGAAAAGTTATTCTAGGTAGTGACTGTGGGAAGCTTTCCTCCTCCTTCTTCTTTTTTTCTGGAACATGTTCAGCAGAACAAAAATACTATTTCTAAAAATTCTACAATGTTTAGGACATTCTCCAAACAATGGTTTGGGGGCATTTTCTAAAGACTGTAGGGGGCTTTGAAGCCCCCTTTCTACATTTTAGAGTTTTGTCATTTCTTAATCTTGTTCCAAGTATCCTTCTATAGAAACCAACACTAATGTTTACTTATAACAAGATCCCTTTCTATCGTTCTGGAATGTCTGTGAAGAGGTTCCTCTGGCCTCCCGGCTCATCCTCATGGCACTCCCATCTCTTTTATTCTCGCTATTAATGAGACTCCTCTCCAGATTTCACAGGGAAGCCCCTCCCTTCATGACCACACCGTTTGACTCTATTACTGATTGTCCATTGTGTGTGTGTGTGTGTGTGTGTAATGCCCTCCTTGCCTCGTTGAGGCCTGATCATGATTTCAGGGCCATTTCTCCAAATAAGACTCATTCCTGAAGGGTTTGGGGATGGTCTACAGTAGGATCCATCCTTACTCGACATTATCACATTCTGGGCACTAATTTATACAGTTCTTCAATCAAAGTTTTATGTAGCAAACCTTACCGTAGAGAATGCTGCAACCACAAGATTGGAAGGAAACAGGTTTCTGTTGAAAAAGAAAGCATTTCGTCAGGAATGTATATTTGTTTTTTGGGTTTTTCTTTTGTTGTTGTTGCTTTTCTTTCTTTCTTTTTTTTTTTTTTTTGTTCCTTTTGTTTTGTTTAGTACTAAGGTTTGATAACTTGGGGCTCTGCATACAACAGGCAAGTGTCCTAACATTGAACTATTCCCCCAGCTCATTCTTTAAAAATTTATAGTATCTCAAGTAGCCAAGACAGCCTTGAACTCGCTGGGTAGCAGAGATGACGTTGAACTTCTGAGCACCACAGGCTTGGGGTTTTGTCGTTTTAAGATTTACACTTATGCCATGGTTGTGGTGGCTCATGCCTTTAATCCCAGCACTGGGGAGGCAGAGGCAGGGAGATCTCTGTGACTCAGAGGCCAGTTTGGTCTACAGAGTGAGTTCCAGGACAGTCAGGGCTACACAAAGAAACCCTGTCTCAAAAAACAAAAGCAAGATTTCCTTTTTTGTTTGTGCATTCTCCCGGCCACGCCTGTGTCTGTACAGGCACTCCCGGAGATCAAACAAGGGCACTGGATCCTGAAAAGCTGTCATTACAGCAGAGTCACCTGATGGGGCCTGGGAACTCAACGTTAGTCCTTCACAAGGGTAGTCAACCCTCCTAAAAGCTGCACCATCTCTCTGGTCCCAGGGATTTTTGTTTATTTAATTGTGAAACAAAGTTTACTGTGTAGTCCAGGCCGACTTTAAACCCTCCACCTTCCTTCCTTGGCTTCCCAAGAGTTGGAAATACAGGTGTCTATCACTACCCCTGCTGAACCAATGGATTTTGTTTTGTCACAATAACTGAGATCCATTTATGGAACTGAGGGACTTTGGAAGGGAGAGTACCAGGGTTCTGAAATTTGTCCTGGCAAGCACAACAAAATTCTTTATGATTAACTTTCTCAAAAACTCCTAGACTCCCCAGGGTTCAGCATGATAATAGCCTTATTTATAACCACCTGAGCCTGGACTAACTCCAACCAGGAGACTGTGTTCTTTTCATTTTACAATTTAAACACACGTTTAAAATTCCAGGAATACAACTACTATGTAAATTACGGGATAATGGTTTGTTTTGTTTGGAAAGTCTCCAAGAATTTCTCATCTTGCTAAGAAACTGCAGCACCAATGGCGAATTATAAAATCTGAGTCCTTCCTTTTCCACTGAAGTCCAAGCATCAGCCTGCATGTCAGCTTAGTGGTGATTCTTTTTTTAAAAAAGATTTTTATTGATTTTATCGAGCTATATAGATTTTCTCCCCTCCTTTCGACCCTCTCCCATGGTCCCCATGCTCCCAAATTACTCAGGAGAGCTTGTCTTTTTCTACTTCCCATGTAGATTAGATCCACTTGTTTCTATTAGTGTCCTCATTGTTGTCTAGGTTCTCCGGGATTGTGGTTTGTAGACTGGTTTTCTTTGCTTTTGTTTAAAAACCACTTATGAGTGAGTACATGTGATAATTGTCTTTCTGTGTCTGGGTTACCTCACTCAAAATGATTCCTAGATCCACCCATTTGCTTTCAAATTTCAAGATGTTATTTTTTTCTGCTCTGTAGTATTCCATTGTGTAAATGTACCACATTTTCCTCATCAATTCTTCGGTCGAGGGGCATTTAGGTTGTTTCTGGTTCTGGCTATGACAAACAAAGCTGCTATGTACATAGTTGAGCACATGTCCTTGTGGCATGATTGAGCATCCTTTGGATATATACCCAAAAGTGGTATTACTGGGTCTTGAGGAAGGTTGTTTCCTAATTTTCTGAGAAATCGCCACACTGACATCCAAAGGGGTTGTATCAGCTTGCATTCCCACCAGCAATGCAGGGGTGTTCCCTTTACTCCACAACCTCTCCAGCATAAGTTGTCATCAGTGTTTTTGATCTTGGCCGTTCTTACAGGTGTAAGATGGAATCACAGAGTTGTTTTGATTTGCATTTCTTGATGACTAAGGATGTTGAGCATTTCCTTAAGTGTATTTCAGCCATTTTAGATTCCTCTGTTGAGAGATCTCTGTTTAGATCTGTACTCCATTTTTAATTGGACAATTTGTTCTTTTAATGTCCAATTTCTTGAGTTCTTTGTATATTTTGGAGATCAGACCTCTGTCTGATGTGGGGTTGGTGAAGATCTTTTCCCATTCTGTAGGCTGCCATTTTGTCTTGTTGACCATGTCCTTTGCTTTACAAAAGCTTTTCAGTTTCAGAAGGTCCCATTTATTAATTGTTTCTCTCAGTGTCTGTACTATTGTGGTTATATTTAGGAAGTGGTCTCCTGTGCTAATGTGTTCAAGTGTACTTCCCACTTTCTCTTCTATAAGGTTCAGTGTGGCTGGCTTTATGGTGAGGTGTTTGATCCATTTGGACTTGAGTTTTGTGCATGGTGATAGATATGGATCTATTTTCATTCTTCTACCTGTTGAGACCCAGTTATGCCAGCACCATTTGTTAAATATGTTTTCTTTTTTCCATTTTATAATTTTTGCTTCTTTTTCAAAAATCAGGTGTTCGTAGGTGTGTGTGGATTAATATGTGGGTCTTTGATTTAGTTCCTTTGGTCCTCTTGTCTGCTTTTATGCCAATACCAGGCTGTTTTCAGTACTGTAACTCTGTAGTAAAGTTTGAAGTCAGGGATTGTGATGCCTCCAGAAGTTCTTTTATTGTCCAGGATTGTTTTGGCTATCCTGGGTTTTTTGCTTTTCCACATGAGGTTGAGTACCGTTCTTTTCGAGGTCTGTGAAGAATTTTGATGGGACTTTGCTGGGCATTGCATTGAATCTGTAGATTGCTTTTGGTAAGATGGTTAACAATGATTCTAATCAGAAAGAAGGGTCCAACCTCTGATTTATAGAATTTACGTATTTTTTAAAGACTCGTTTACTTATTTGTTTCTGTGTATATGCTCACTCGGCATGTGTGTACGAACGCACACTATGGTCACACATGCTGACACCAGAGGCTGAAGTCAGGTGTTCTCCTCAATCATGTAAGATTTCTGTTAGAAGAGGCTTCTCACTGAATCTGGAGCAAACAAATCCCCGAATCCCAGCAATCCTATCCCTTCTCCTCCTCAGAACTGGGGTTAAAGGCATACATGGGTGCCTGGTTTGTTCCATGGGTGCTGAGAACCAATGGTTCCCTATGATATGCAGCGCTCACTCTAACCACTGACCATTTCTCCAGGCCTGCATTTCTATAGTAAACACATTTCTGGGTGCCTGGAAAGTGGTTCTTAGTGATTAAGAGCATAAATGAGTTTTTAAAAGAACTAAGTTCAAAATAATTTTTATTGATGTCTTTTTCTTAAAGACATCTCACTATATAGACTAAGCTGGCTTTGAACCCCTGGAGATTCATGTGCTTCTGCCTCCCATGTGCTGGGAGTATCCCCTTTGGAGCCAGACTCTGTGTAGGATGCTGGTGTTGATTTACAAGCTACCACACTCCAGCTGTGTACTTCCAGCAGGAACGGGAAGTCTGGAAGGATGAAAGGCTCAGGGTCATCATTACACAGATGCTGATGCTGGGCTTCCCCACCAGTTCTGACTCCTGTCGTGTGAGCAGGAATGGCCCCCCTGCTCTCAGGCTTAGCCCACAGGGAGTGGCACTATTAGGAGGTGTGGCCTGGTTGGAGTAGGTGGGCTTTGAGATCTTTTTTTTTAAATTAAATTAATTAATTTATTTTACATCTTGACCACAGTTTCCCCTCCCTTCCCTCTGCCCCTGACCCAATCCACTCATCCTTCGTTTCTGTTCAGAAAGAGGCAGGTCTCCCATGGATATCAACAAAGCATGGCATGTTAAGTTGCAGTAAGGCTAAGCATCTGTCCATGTATTAAGACTGGGCAAGGCAACGCAGTATGAGGAATAGGGTCCCAAAAGCCAGCCAGGGCTCTGAGGTCTTATATGCTCAAGCTATGCCCAGTGTGACACACAGTCTCCTTTTGCTGCCTGCAGATCAAGATGTAGAACTCTCAGCTCCTTCTCCAGCGCCATGTCTGCCTGCATGCTGCCAAGCTTCCTGCCATGATGATAATGGACTGAATCTCTGAACTGTAAGCCAGCCCCAAGATATCTCTTCAAAGCAACAGAAATCCTAAGGCATCCTGTCGTTGAGGTGAGATGGTGAAGTCCATTATCAACTTGGCAGCATCTAGCAGCATGTGGGGGAAAGGGCATTCCTTTCAGGGATTATCTTAACTGGGTTAATTGAGGCGGGAAGACAAAGCCTGAAAGTGGGTAGAGCCGTTCTCATGGGGTCCTGGATTGACTAGAAAGAGAGTGTGCGTTTAGTACACACGTTCCCTATTCTGTTTTCTGATGTGGAGGCCATATGCCCGGCTGCTTCAGGCTCCTTCCACCTTGGTGGACTCTCCCTTGAACTAGAAGCCAAATAAACCTTGTCTCCCGTAAGTCGCTTCTGTTAGGGTGTTTTTTATGACAGCCACAGGACAAGAAGCAAACACTAACAGACAGCACCGGAGTTTGGACACAGGATGATGTGGTTATAACCGCGTGATGGGCAATCTAAGATAGCTTTTCAGTATTTGGTTTTGTGTAATCCCCTTTCCTTGTGTGATGGGGTCGATGACTTCCCTGTAATTGGTACACTGCTCCAAAAGCGATAGGACAATCCTTCCACCGTTTGGTTACCTAACACAGGAGCTTCCCATCCTGTTAGCATGCTCTCCTGCCAGCCGTCTGAGCTCACGCACTTGGCTATAGGAAGCAGCTCTTCTGGAAAGCCCCACCTGACGAGGAACCGAGGGTGGCCTCTAGCCAACAGCCAAGTAGGAACCAGGGCTCTAAATCCAAACCTCAAAGAGCTAAGCTCTGCCAACATCGTCCTCCAGAGTAAGTCTCCCTGAGATGAGCCTTCAGATGAGAGCCCGGGCCTGGCTGATGCCTGGATTGGAGTCCTCTAACAGAGGAGGCCGAATGCCAAGATTCTTGCCTCACAGGTCTCTGGGATGATATCTGGA